TTGGTAGCCCAGGCTGGCCTCGAACTCACAGAGATCCGCCTGGCTCTGCCTCCCGAGTGCTGGGATTAAAGGCGTGCGCCACCACCGCCCGGCTGCTAACCATTTATCTTAATAGTTACTTCAGTTCATCGACTCCCACGACACCCCTATTATTAACATTTGACCAGTCAAGTAATTAAGACCCAGCCATGCAGTTTCTGATCATGTGGTAGAGTGACATGCATGCCCAGTGGAGAGCTGACCTGTGTGAAAGAGCAAAGACGTGCAGGGTGGAGTTGGGAGTCAGGTTCTTAAGAAGACATTGGGTCCTGCCTACCTTTCCGAGGATGCCCTAGTTCTTTGAACTACATTTCCCAGAAAGCCATGGGGTAGCCCCCTGCCTAAAGCATATATACATGTGCCTCTGGCGATTCTGGGAATGGTAGTTCTTTGTGTGTCTAGTGCGTAGCTAGAGAGGCGTCCCTCAAGGAAGTCCCTCTAGTGGTCTAACTTGATTTCTCTGGTGGTGGGGAGAAGGAGCAGGGGAATTGAGGGAGAACGCCTCCTACCGCCATCTAGCTGAGAAAACGCAGTACCTGTTTCATGGATCCTTCCCACCGCCGAAATCTTCTCTGGCTTCTGCGCACCAAAGACCATGGAGAGAAACTGGACGCAGTAGACGCCCAGATCCAGCAGGCCGCCGCCGGCCTGGCTCCAGTCTCTGGACCGGGGAAAATGGCTTAAATCTAGCCCCATTTCTGCCCGGGCCACTCGTAGGTCCCCAACAGTTCCTTGGACCAAAACTTCCCGCAGAGCCTCCATGGCAGGAAAAAACCGACTCCACAAGGCCTGCAAAGCGGAGTGGGGAGCCCAAGGCAATAGAGCCATCAGTATTCAGAAGGTGATCAACCACACCTCCCTTAGGATCCTAGTCTCAAGGGATAGCCACTGCTTCCCCTACCCAAAACACACCTCTAGCCTTCCACTTTCCAGCTGGGACCACCACCCCGGTTTTCCTTATCCAACTGTCTCTGCCCCAACCACGTTTTTGTTCCTTTATTTTTGATTTTTTTTAGATAGGGTATTATGTAGCCCAGGCTGGCTTCAAACTCATCATGTAACAGAAGTGAGTCTTAATCGAGGAACTACCTAGATCAGATTGGCCTGTGGGGGGAGTGTCTTGATTTTAAACGATGTAGGAGGGCCCAGTTCAGCACAGGCTTCCCTATTCCTTGGGCAGGTGGGCCTGAACCCAGAGCCTTGGGTTAGGGACGCGCTCTAGCCTCTTCCCTAAAGATGAGATAGCATCTCTAGCCCCTAAAAAACTTGAGATTTGTGGGCACGGCGGCACACACCTTTACTCCCTGCACTGGGGATGCAGAAGCAGGTAGAGTTTGAGGCCAGCCTTGTCTACATAGTGAGTTCCAGGATAGCCAGGATTATCTCACAAAAAAAAAAAAAAAAGGCCTTTGCCTGAAAAGGATTCTTCTCTGTGTGTGTCTCTCTCCAAATACCCTCTCTTCTCTCCCCCCTAAATCTGACATGGAGAATGTTCCACACATTCTGAGGTAGTTCTGTCCCATTTGCTAAGGATTATGACTCCATCATACTTGAATAAGCCCTATGGCTGCACTTTCTGAGAAAGGGTCTCATGTAGTTCAGGCTGGCTTCAATCTCTCTATGTAGCTGAAGATAACCTTGCACTTTTTAATAAAGTTTATTGTGTTTGTGAGTCTGAATGTGCACATGTGCATGCAGATGCCCCCAAAGGCCAGAAGAGGGCAGCAAATCCCCTGAAACTGGAGGTACAGGTGGCTGGGAACAAGCCAATGTGTGGGCTGAGACCTGAACTCTGGTTCTCTGGAAGAACAGCCAGTGTTCTTAACTTCTAAGGCATCTCTCCAGTTCTAAGTGTAAAACCACCATCCCTTCCTTCCTCTCTCCTTCTTTCTTTCTTTCTTTTTTTGAGACACAATCTTGCAACCCTGCCTGCCTTGGAACTCACAAAGATCCCAGTGCTAAGACTGAAAGTTTCTACCACCATGCTGGGCAGCCTTGAACTTTTAATCCTCCTGCCTCTGCCTCCTTTCCAGTACTGAGATGTCAGAAGTGAAGCATCACATTGGTTCATGTGCTGTGGATGGAACCCAGGGCTTCCTCCATGCCAGGCAAACACTGTCCACAGGGCTCCATGGCCAGCATCTCTTCAGCAGCACTTGCTTGGCTTCTTCTTCTTCTTCTTCTTTTTTTTTTTTTTTTTTGAGACAAGGTCTCACTGTGTAGCTCTAGCTGGCTGGAAATTTGCTAGGTAGACCAGGCTGGACTCGAACTCACAGAGATCCTCCTGCCTCTGCCTCCTGAGTGCTGGAATTAAAGCCGTGGGCCACCACTGCCCAGCTAAATCACTAATTTTGCAAGTCACACAGTTTGGTGGCAAATTTTTAGTCTCCCATTAGCTTTGCCGTAGATGACATCTCTGACTGGAGCTATGTAATGGGTTGAAAACTGCACTGCCTTGAAGGTGACCTCCCCTGTGCTGGGGGTGGAGCTCTGGAAACATCTGCAGAGAAAGAAGCTGTTCGTGTACCAGTATTTCATTTTTCCCGGAAGAAGCCACTGTGCTTTCCTCGGGTTCACAGAGCAAGCAGTAACCGGAAGACAACCGCAGCGTGTGCCTCTGGAAAGCTGAAGTCCTGCGTGCTGTGGGACTCTCCTGAGCCTCTGGTCTGCCCGACACTTCCCCAGAACTCCCTAGGGAAGTCCTGCACCAGCAACCCCAAAACAAAATGGCCTCTGTCTTTTTTGGTTTTCTTGCTTTCCAAATAAATACTTGTTCTAATCTGACCTTAGTCACTGGCCTCTCCAAGTGGGGAACAGTGGACTTGGGTTTGTGCTTCCAAAAGATGCTTGATTCAGTTACACCCGGGCCTCACCGAGATTCTGATCTTTGGCATTTCAACTGTGGGCAAGCTTGGGCACTGTGTTTAGTCCTGGCAGCTGGTGCTATATGAGGTCAGAAGGGCCCTCCAGGCTTACCTCCATCAGGAAGATGCCCCGAGAACGGGCCTCTGCAGCCATCTCCCGAACTTCTGCAACATTCACACTCATGGGTGTCTCGCAAAGGACAGCCTTGCCCACCGCCAGGCAGAGGAGCACCGCTGATTTGTGCTGGGGGTGCTGGGTGGCGACGTAGGCCACCTCCGGAGTAGAGGGAAGGAGATAGTCAGCAGCACCGTCCACAAGGAGAGGCCTGTCACCAATGTTCAGGGACAAATTGGTGTATCCAATCCTAATCCTCTCGTTGAGAAGAGACTACCAAGCTTTGTGGAGGCTGAGGCAGGAGGATAACCAAATTGAGACCAGCCTGGGCTGTGTCAAATATCCAAGGGGCCAGGCATGGTAGCCCAGGTATTGTTTTTTTTTTTGTTTTTGTTTTTGTTTTTTTTTTAGCTGAGGATCGAACCCAGGGCCTTGTGCTTGCTAGGCAAGCGCTCTACCACCGAACTAAATCCCCAACCCCTAGCCCAGACCTTTAATCCCAGCACTTAGAAACTGGAAATCAAGGCAGGCAGAGCTCTGTGAGTTTGAGGCCAGTCTGGTCTACATAGTGAATTCCAGGTCAGCCAGGGCTACACAGTGAGACCCTCTCTCAAAATAAAACAAAGTGTTGGTATACAGCTCTGTGGAGCCTAAATTGTGAGGGTCAATCCCCAATGCTGCAAAATAAACAAAGAAACAAATTCTTAACAGATTCCTTAGCATCCTGAGAAATTTAAAACTTAACACTTGGCCTTAGCTACAGCGGCCTGGCATCCAAGCACAGTTTAATATTGTTAACCCAGCCTCTGGCCAAGTCATCCATTCCTTTTAACTCTGCTTCCTACCCTAGCCTTTCAAAAGCCCCCTGCCAGTCAGCTGCACCTGCTTTTTTTTGGGGGGGGAGGAGGGTGTCTTGGAACTCCCTCTGTAGATCACAGATCCGTCTGCCTCTGCCTCCTGAGTGCTGGGATTAAAGACGTGCACCACCACCGCCGGCGTCAGGTGCACTTGCACCACACATTCACCACAGCGCAGGCAGGACGCTGTGCCTAGCTCCGGCCCCACCTCCGTCATCCAGGCCACTCACCCACGTCTGGGTCCTTTGCTAGCTCCTCGTAGGAGCCGTATGCCTTGGGGATGTTGTATTTCTGGGCAAACACCTTCGCCCTGTTCAGGTCCCTCGCAGCCACTGCTACCACCTGGTGTCAGAGTCAAAGGCTTGAGGTGGGACCATTGTAGAGATAAAGGAGGTGGGAGGCAAGCATGGGAAGAGCTGAAACAGGGAGGCTAGAGCCTCCTCCACGATGGCTAGGGAAGAGATTCCTGTCTGGAAGGAGGAGCAGGTGGATGGTAGAAAAGCCAGACGTATGCTGTGCCCGGGCTCAGGCCAGCCTCGGCTTCAGAAGAGTCCAAGACCATCCTGGGTACCTAGCAAGACTGTCTGAATAAGACGGGAAGGGAGGGCGCAGTCCCTGACTGCGCAATAGCGTCTCCTCCCTGCAGCTAAGATCCACCTCTGCAGACCTCGCGCACCTCAGGTTAAGAGACTGGGGTGAAGAGGAGCGAGCTGAAAACAAGTCCCTTCTGCTCTCAGAGTCGCCTGCCACCTGCCTCTGACCTAGGGACTCGCCACCCTCAGACTCTCATCCCTCGGACCAGGCTAAGAGCCACCCCCCCACCTCCCTTAGACCTGGGGTCCCGCACCTGGTGCTCCGAGGGAGGCAGTGAGCTCAGCATGGTGGTAAAGTCGCTGGCGATTAGGCCAGCTGACACGATGCCCCAGCGCAGCGCCATGCTCACCCCTGCCTGGATGTCTTCCGCCTGTGAGGAGCGCCCCGAGGCTATTAAAGACAGCGCGCTCTGCCGGGCTGGAGGCGGGGCCCACGGAGCCCTGCGCTGCCAGGCTGGACTTTCAGGGGGGGCAGGACCTCACCTTTGGTGTGTTTTGAGACTTTGACCTTTAGGGACACAACTGAAGAGTTGTCAGAGAGAGGAGCAGTCATTTCTCTAGTGCTGGGCTCTGCTTCTCTCTCCGACAGTGCCTTACTCTGTTGCCCAGGCTGGCCTGGAATTCACAATATAGCCCAGGCTGCTGACCACAACTCAAGGCAACCCTCCTGCCTCAGCTTCCTGAGTGCAGAGATTACAGACGTACACCACCATGCTTGTTTTTCAAGTGTCCTATCATTTTTATTTTATTTTGAGACAGGGTCTTGATATTGCTAGAAATTGGTCTGGAGTCTCAAGAGAATGACCACAGGATCCAAAGTATTTTTGGTGAGGAGAAATCTGTTGACTGGGGCACAGCTGTGCCAAAGCAAGCAGCAAACACTCCCAGCAGGGACCCACTGGGTTTGTTTTTGTTGTTTAAATGTGTGTGTGTGTGTGTGTGTGTGTGTGTGTGTGTGTGTGTGTGTGTGTGT